TTGGAAATTCAAAATAGGATTTGTGTTATTTACATTCTGGCCCTTTTGTAGCATAAGAAAGGTCCGACATTGAACTTGTTAGACGGTGTTCCAAAGGGAAATTTCATTGGAAGAGAGGTTCAAAGTCTAAACCTATCTCGAAACAGGGATTCTAGCTAAACCGTTGTATTTAAAGTTCTATTTGCGCAGGAAAGTTAATTCTATCTCAAAAGGCGGAGGTAGTAGATGAGCAAATGTGGACAGGTAGTTGAAGAGGGTGGGGGACGGTGTGTGAACGTACATACATATGTATATCTATATATACACATACATACACACATATATATATATATAGTACCCCCAATGATCCTGCGCCTCCTCATACAATACTGGAAAATACAGTATTTTTGAGCCTTTGTTTACCTCCTGGAAAGGGGTCAACATGAGCATAGCTGACATGAAGCTCACCAAAAGCACTTGAAAGTTTGTCTAACCAATAACTTGAAAGTGTGTCCACTGGATCGCTAAGCACTTAAAAATTTGCTACTATCGGATGGAAGATTCAATATTGAAGATTACACAGAACACTTTCCTGAGAATTGTCAATCCTGGCCAAACCCAAATAGCATTCAAGTTCTTCTAACACTTGAAAGTGCTTTACCACTGGATTGGGGATTCAATGTTGAGGAGCCCACAAACCACCACTTTCCTGACAATCATCCATCCTGGTCAACCCCTAAAATGTTCAAGTTGTTCTATCACCTCGAACATCCGTTGCCACTGGATTGAACTATTTCACGGAAAACTTTTCCGAGAATCTTATTGAACACCGAGAGTATTGGGACAACCCTGAATTTCTAAAACTTTTAAAAATTATGGGATTCAAGATTCAAGATTCCCAGAACATATTTTCTCAGATTCTTGAATCTTGAATCTTGAATCCATAAATTTGTTTAAAAACTTTTAAAAAATTCTGGGATTCAAGATTCAAGATTCAAGATTCCCAGAAAATATTTTCTCATATTATTGAATCTTGAATCCTTTTTTTTTTAGTTTAAACATTCTGGGATTCAAGATTCAAGATTCAAGATTCCCAAAAATTTTTTTCTCACATTCTTGAATCTTGAATCTTGAATCCCAGAATGTTTAATAATTTCTAAAAATGTCTGAGTTGTTCTTGTATTCTTGGATGCATTCAAACTCTTTCAGATTGCAGGTGCTGATGTCATTGCTTTTATCACATCTGTATGCATGCATGCGTATCATATACATGTATGACCCTCCCCCCAATTTTGACACAAATCCAAGAAGCAAAAAGAAGCATAACACACTGGAAAATACGGGTCAACCGCACCAAACCAGGGTCCATGGGGGGGGGGTACCATATATATGTACCAGTCCCTGGGCCACGTACCCCCCCCCCCCCCCCCCCAATGGTATGGTCCCCCCACTCCCCCGCATCATCCGCATCTTGGGGATGATGCTGGCAATGCTGGGGATGCTGTCCAGTACCGTGCGAGCCCTGCAGCTTCGGTCCCAGACCCCCTTTCACCCCGTGAACCAACACCCCCGCACCTCTCGCAACATCCTACCCTAAACCAAACCACCCTGCAACCCCTCCTTAACCCCAACCCTAAGCCTAAATCAACCCAAAACCCAAACCCACCCGAAACCCACCGCAAACCAACCCTGAACCAACCCTGAACCAACCCTAAACCAACCCACCAAGCCTAAACCAACTCCGAACCACACCCAACCACCCAACCACCCAACCCCCAACCACCCAACCACCCAACCACCCAACCACCCAACCACCCCCCCACCCCACCACCCCACCACCCCACCACCCCACCACCCCACCCACCCCCACAGGGGGGGGGGGGGGGGGGGGGGGGGGGGGGGGGGGGGGGGGGGTCCACACGGCCTGGAACATATATATATATATATATGTATATATATATATATATGCGCTCGTGGGCTTTTGTTGGCCCACTCATGTGGACTGGTTTGAACATTCAGGACCCCTCAACTTGGTAGGGTAGGGTTTCCCTTTTAGTCTTTGCCCTTGGGGGGTGCAGGCCATTCATTGCCGCAAATTTTACAAGATGTCCAAGCCCTGAAATACGGCATCCCCAAGTAAAGAATCTTTACCATGGTGACCTCGTTGTACCCCCGAATCGCCATAAACGAGGCAGATTTATATCCAGGTCCTCCAGTAGAGCGCTCAGAAAAAGGGTACCAACTTTTTTCTGTAGTCTATTTTGGTAGGGGAGCCCAAAAAAGGGCTGAGAAAGGGCACTACTGTGGGACCTAGATTCCTAGATATGCCCCCAATTGTCCCCGTGGCTGTGGGTCAAAAATAGGTCCTCAAAATGGAACCTTGGCAGATGGAGCCTGTGGTCCCCTGTTGGCTTAATGACCCATACCCCTGTTTCCCACGATCGAAACCCCAAGGCCCTCGAGCCGTCGCCTCGGCTGCGCAGGGCGAACTGCTGCTCCAGCAGTCGCAGGTCTTGGGCAATGCCCACGCCGCATTTCACGTAGTCCTCGCGAAGTTGCAAGCAGGGACCTCCATTTGCTTAAATCCCCTGGACAAAATAAACATAGTAATATTTGCGGTAGAGTTTTGGCTGTAATTTGAACTAGGTCCTCCAGTAGAGAGGTTAGAACAAGTTGTTACCATTTCTTTTTGTTCTGTAGTCTATTTTAGTAGCGGAACCCTCCCCAAAAAAGGGGAGAGAAGGGCACTACTGGGAAACCTCCATTTGCTTCAGCGCCCTGGAGAAATAAACATATTTCCAGTAGTGATAGGTTTCCTTTGAAACCAACAGGGGAAAATCAACAATCTTCTTAAGCAAATGGAAGAGGAAGTTCCAGGTACCATCGACACATGCCCAAATTCCGATAGCTGCCAAATCAAGTATAGCTGTTTCCAACTATTTGGGGGGCATTGCCCGAGAGTGTCTCGCGGGGAGAAACACAAACACATTTGGAAAATAGGGTACCGGGATGCTTCGAACACCTCTGAGCGCCTTTCGGGGTACCCAGTCTGTGAATTGTTGGGCTGAATTTGGATTGTCAAATACCCCTCCATGTACAATTTTCCCTTGAGTCAGGGGTCACTGGATTTCCCCAAATCAAAAGTTGATCACATTGCTGGAGAAAACCATTGAAGCTGCCACTTTTGGAGGTCCCAAAAGGGAAATGGAGGAAACCCAGTTGGTTTCAACGCCAACCACCCCCAAGATTGGAAACTGCCAAAGTTGATCACACACGAACACCTTATTAATGAGCCCCTTTGAAGGTCAACCAGGTGCTTGGCCCAACTTAGCCTTTACACAAAGCAACAACACACAAACAAACAACCAACAAAAACAATCAAGAAGCAAAGAAACAATCAATCAAACAAACAAACAACAAACACAGAAACAAAGAGACACAAGCAAGCAAGCAAGCGAGCGAGCAAGCGAGCGAGCAAGCAAGCGAGCGAGCAAGCGAGCCAGCGAGCGAGCAAGCGAGCAAGCAAGCAAGCAAAGCAAGCAAAGCAAGCAAGCAAGCAAGCAAGCAAGCAAGCAAGCAAGCAAGCAAGCAAGCAAGCAAGCAAGCAAGCAGACAAGCAAGCGAGCGAGCGAGCGAGCAAGCAAGCAAGCAAGCAAGCAAGCAAGCAGACAAGCAAGCGAGCGAGCGAGCGAGCGAGCAAGCAAGCAAGCAAGCAAGCAGGCAAGCGAGCGAGCAAGCACACAAAGAAACATGAGAACCCCACAGAAACAAGATAGTCATCCAGTACGGAACAGCAGGTTTCCCAGTTTTACAGGGTCCTCGTGCTTCCAAATCGATTGTGGCACGAAATCCCCTTTTGGCTAAGCCCGCTCGCACCCTTTTAATTTTGTCGGGAGATTCTCATTTTCCCAAAGGAGGTATCCTTTGTTGCAGATAGCGTATAAGATCACCAGAATCGTGTGGGTGTTTGGGGCAACCACAAAGGTGCTTTGTGTAAGCATCTTGGGTTCTACTTGGTTGCTATCATGTTGGTCCTCGTGTCAGGTCCCTACAACCCCCTGCCAGAGACCCTTTTCCACCGCCGAGCTCTGGGGTGCGGGTCTTTGCGGGCTCCTTCCCAACTTGGAGTGTGGTAGCAAACAATATTGTGTTTTTTTGCAGTCCCCCCACTAAAAATAAACAGCACCAAAGAGGCAAAACAACTCAGAAACACACCAAGAAAAGTATCTCTCTTAACTTCCGAACAAGTGGATTGGCCAAAAAAAGTACGTAACCAAACTTTCATATACGACTAAAATGGTCCATTTGCTCAAGCCCGCTGGAAAAAAACAACATATTTTTAGTAGTGATCGATTCCTTTTAAAACCAGGGGAACATCCGCACTATTCTTAAACAAAGAAATGGTCCAAACCCCAAAAAGTTGTCCAAGTCCGTCAACTCAGGAGCCTTGAAGCCCCTCTCCGCATTTTTTCCCCTCCCGCCTCACAGAGCAGCAGCGACTGCAAGCCTCGCACCGGGCGAGACTTTGCTGAGGTGGCGATTTCGCCAACGCCAAAGTTCGCCTGGACAAAGTACGCAATGAACATATTCTAGGTCCTCCAGATTTGAGAGGTTAGAATAAGTTGGTACCCACGTGTTTTTTCTTTTTTCTTGGTTTTGTCTATTTTAGTAGGGGAACGCTCCCCTAAAAAGGGGAGAGAACTACTGGGGGATCTAGTATTACTGTCTACATATATGAATATACTTTATATGTGTTGTACCCACACACCCCAAGAAACAAGCGCAAACACATAGGATGCCCCTGGATTTTGCGGGGATTTGTTGCGCGCCCTTCTCATCAAACCGGCAGACTACAGCAAAATGTTGCCACAGTTGTACATATGCGCAAACGTCAATGTTTACCGCTGCTGTAGAAGAGAGGATGACACCTGTCACATGCACATAATTACAATGAGGAGATGAGGATTACTCACTCAAGAAAAAACAAACAAACAGAACAACCACTTGGGTACAAACATGAATACCCTCCTGACAGGAGGGTTTTGGAAGAGCATCTTCCTTCTGGGTTCCCCCCCCCAATCACAGGTGGCCATTTGAAGAAATAGATGGGTTTCCCTGGTAAATGTTGAATAAATCCCCCTCCAAACTAGGACCCTCTTTTTTTAAGCAAACCCACAATTATGCCTCCTCTCTACGTCCCATGACCGCTGACGTATCTCTCTTTCTGGGCTTCCGGCTGGGTGGCAACCGATCAAGCTTGGGCAGCTGAATCAGCAGGCAGCCTAGCGGACTCGTTGCGGATCATCCACTGACCTGGGGATCCTCGAACTAGGTCCTCCAGTAGAGAGGTTAGAATAAGGGTACCCTTTTTCTGTAGTCTATTTTAGTAGGGGAGACTGCCCCCAAAAAAGGGGAGAGAAGGGCACCTAGTGAAGAGACAACCCCCACCAGAAGAAAGAAGAATCCACTGGATACACCTCGAGGGCTCGGGCATTGGGAGAAAACTGAAGCTATGAAAGCCTGGTCATCAGAAACCTCACACCCCAGCCCAAAGTGTCCTTTTTTTGAGTCCGTTTACATTGAACTAGGTCCATTCCAAAGCAGGTATATTACAGAGGTGTGTTTGCACCAGCGGCGGGCAGTCACACCCTTTTGGGATCCGCAAAAAGGAGGCCTTAGGAAGCTTAAGGTCTGTTTTTCAAAGGAACCCCAAATGAGTCACTTGCTCAAAACCCGGTACTACAATGGTCGACCCAGAACCATGTAAAGAATTAAGAAGGCGGCCACAGCTATTTCTGGCTTGGACTGCCCCTTACTAACCGTCATCTACCCGGGTTTTGATTGTGGCTCAAATCATGAATCTTTATTTGGCGATTCGCGTTTCCAGGCAAGTGACGAGTCACCTTTGGCTGTTTCCGCGAAAAAAAGCACCGAGGAAAAACACCTGTCCTTCGGGCCTCCCGTTCGGGTTGACCAATGCCACAGCTTGGGGAGGTCCAACCAAACACCAATCGGGGAAACAACACTCAAATTCCAGGCTCCAGAGACCCGGAACTTTATCAGGAACCAAAGAACACCAAAACGTCTTTGAGAGGTTCGGATGAACCCTTTGAACGGGGGCCGGAAAGAGGAAGTGCTGTGTGATTATACGCTGCTGCCCGTCTTAGAAATGGAAGCACTACAAATAGCCCGAACCCTCTCCCCATTGTTTCCCATAGCAAAACTTGCGGCAGAAAGTTCCACTATTTGGGGTTTCCTGCCTACATGGGGCGAGACTTTGGAGCTCGGCCATTGGAACTGTTGAGTCAACCGCTCCACAGGGATCCGGATGCATTATACACCTGAACCTTGCAACTTGTAAATGGTGGTGTCCAACTTTAGTTTGGTGTTGAAAAAGCAACATGTTTCCAATGGTTGCAAAATGGAGATCTTTTAAGGAGCCCTGCTCCACTTCCTTCGCGTCGCTCTTCCCGGACGTGAAGAACAGGCTGGCGTCCTCGCTGGCGTAAGGACGCAGCGCGTTCTTCGTGAGGTGCCACTTCGGCTTGACCGCCGTCGAGTACTCCTTGTCCGCTCTTAACGTAATCATAATGGTATGTTTGTCAAGGACCAATAGGCCTCCTAGTTCCAATTGGGGTCAATAGCCACTAATAAGGTTTGTTAGGGCTAATGGGTGCCTTTTTTTTTAATAAGAAGGCCCCTACCATGGGACATAGCAATCATCTGCTTTTCGCAGCAATTGCCCGTGCATTTCAACGCTGCGGCTCTTCAGGCTGGCAATTGCCAGATACTTGAAACCACGGGCAATTGGCTGCTGAACCCAGATGTTGATAACTTCGTGCATACAGACGATTGACTTCCATTTGCTTAAGCCCTCTGGAACAAATAACCTATTTGCAGTGATAGATTCACTTTAACACCAAGATGAAACAAAACAAATTCTCTTAAGCAAATATCGCTCTGCCAGGCTCTCGGACTCACGAATCATCCGAATCCCCCCGCGCCTTGGCGGGTGGCCAGCTGCAGAAGCGCCACGGTGCCTAGAGTCCAACCAAATGGCCGAAAGGCGTGGGGGGGACATGAAAGGGTCTGTCTGCTTGGAGGATAATCCCCCCCCCCCCATTTTTTGGGGGTGTTTTTTCGTTGTTTAAAGGAAGCTCCCCTTTGAGACTTGGGCCCACTTTGAGGTTCAGTCACCTTTTTCGACGCGTCGCCCTTTCCATAACCGCTCGCGCGGCAGGCAAATCAGAACATGTTAAATGTGCAGTTGGTGTATGGTGTATTTGGGAGATAAGGTCAGACAAATCTGGAGTAGTCATGGTCTAGTCCGAGTGTGAAACTGCTCCTACCAGTCCCACACACACGACCAGCGGTCTGCTTTGATGTGGGTTGGGGTGGGGTTCCCCAAAGGAGTTTCACAGATTGGCGCCTGACAGCGGGGTCCCTGTAGCTGGAACTTTGGTTTTCCAGGCCCTTCCCGAGGGCATGTGCCATTCTCATTTGACTCTTTGCGCTTTTTTGGGTATTAGGTGTTTTTGTGAGTTGGTAGGGTCCCTCATAAATGGCTTGGGTATTTCCGCCAAAGGCCTCCCACATTTTCTGGGGCAAGGAATCCAATCACAACACATGGGAATTCACAACTTTGCGGTTCCTTCGGATACCTTGCGCAATGTCCAGCCTGTAGCCGGATATGCCATGCATATATCCCTCTAAATGTCAGTTCATATATCCCTCGAAACTCCAAACAGCTAAGCGTCTAAGGTGGCTGGGAACTTGTGTCTTGCTCGTTTCATCGGGTCCTTTATCTCAAAAGATGTTGCGCCCAAACTTGGACCGTTGGCTTTTTGTTTGGGTGCTGTGACTTGCAAAGTCACCGGTAACCAGGAAAGTGCGCATGAGATCTCTCCATCTCTCCTTTGCGCAGGGAGCCACCAAAAAGCTCATCAGCTGCTGAGAACCCGGCCAAATTCCAAAACAATCCCCTTTTGACAAAAGAAACTATGGGTGGAACACATGAGGCCTCAAGAACCTGGAACCCTCTGGACATGTCAAATGACCCCATCCCCCCCCCCATCCCCCCACCCTCCATCCCCCTACCCCTCCATCCCCCCACCCCCCCATCCCCCCACCCCTCCATCCCCCCACCCCCCCATCCCCCAACCCCCCCATCCCCCCACCACCCCATCCCCCCCCCCCCAGCCCCCATCCCCAGCCCCCCCATCCCCCCTCCCCCCCTCGCCCCACGGCGCCTTTGCTGTCGGCCCATTCCGTGTCCAAGCCCAGCGGCCCCGGGGCCAACCTTCGCAGCGCCGCCTCGCACCTCGGGAAGGAAACGGAGAAGCACGACTCGGATACTGGGTTAGTAGAATACATGTGTATATATATATATATATATGTAATTCTACACATAACATACGAATATAACATATATATATATATATATGATATATATATATATATGATATATTTATATATATATATATATATACAGAGCTGTACTGAGCTGTCCTCAGATCCCCCGCTGAAAGTTTAACTTTTAGTGGGTTAAATAGCAATCCCCACTAAACTCTAAAAGTCAAACAACAGCTGAAGGGATGGCTGGGAACCACTAAGTACATACATATACATACATACATATATATATATACAACACATCTATATATATATATATATACTATGCTCTGTTTTATCTTCCAACTAAAGCCAATTATCATGTCAACCAACAATGTCAAGTATGTGGGGGTTGTCCTATATTCCTTTGCCCGGGATTGGGCCCTTGGGCCGCACTTGCGCGGCACATTGTGAACGACACATCAGTTTTCGTCTGTGTTGCGGTGCGATTCCGCAAAACACGAGCAAGGGTGTTACGTCGTTTCCCAATGAACACCAGAAGTGGATACCTCAGTGTATTGAGTATCCTATAGCGAGAGTGGTATTGATCTCCTCCTTTAGTGATACCTCTCCCTTGTTGTCCTAGAAGATCAACTTCCAGCGGTATGTCTCGCTTTGTGTGGTCTTACAAGAAGCTATAACATCTGGTATCTAAGGCGGTGAGCCTTTTACGGGTTCGGAGCAACCCTGCAACAAGCGAACTGCAAAGAGCTTCCAGGTTGGTCCAGCCTTCGACCGCGAGCTAGCCAGCGGGGAAGCACTGATTCAGGTTCAACCGAGTCAAAGATGAGTCCCGAGCTCCGATGGCAAAGAATTTCAACATCAATGGAACTGCTGGTGCCTTCCGTTCTTTGAAAACAAGTTGGCAAATCTGAGGCTACACTTTGCGATTGGTGCTGGTTGCGAATACCCCCCTCCCGGAAATCGGCTTCAGTTTCCCTGCAGCCAAAAAGAAGACTGCAAAGGGGTACCATTTTTGTAAACAAAAAAGAACACATACATGCACAAACGACCCAAGTTCCCCGGTAGAAACATGCTTACCGGTAGACTGGGGTCGCTTATTTTTTGCGCGGAATCCACCGAACACAAAAGCTTGTGACGCTGGACAACTGAGTCATTCCTGCAAAAGTACAATCAACATCTGCGACCAATGTGATGTTTCAACCACCCAAGCAGAAACATGTGTATGTTGAGGGTACCCAGTTGAGCCCGAACACAGCAACAACACAAGGGTTGGGCAACTCAACCTCCTGTCGTTCAAACCATGGTTTAAACACCAACTTCTTCAATAATCCCCTTTTGGTTCCCTTTTCTATCGGACTCAGTTTACAAATTTTGCCACCAACAGAAACCATCCGAATCCGAGGCCAGCACTCCTCGGTGTCGGCAGACAGCAGCGGCGTGATGTCCGCTGGCAGTCGGTACCATGGCGGCTGCGTTTTCAACGCGCGGCACAGCTCGTCGCAGTGCATGGAAGACCCCAAAGATGCCCCCGTGCCCTTGGGTCAGCTGCGTGGGGCGTGGGCTAGTCATTTGTGCCCCCGTCCCGCCAACCTATCAGAGCCCAAACCTCTCTATAGTCTCTATTTTCCTGGGTTTCGTACAAGGTAACCTCCCAAAACATCGGACCTGCTGCGAAACATCCCTCCAAAGCGGTTGCCAGAATTGTCGGCAAGCCATCTGGTTCCAAACATACAAGGGAATGGAATCACTGGGTGGTACATGTGACCATAGGTGTCCTTTTAGGGAAATGGATGGCCCTGGTAGTTGATTAAACCACCAGGTAAACCAGGAATCGCCATCTATTTTTCGAGGCAAACAACCAACAGGACACCTATGCATGTGATGTTCCACCTGGCCAACCGGACGCCTTTTGGGCAAGGCATGGAGCACGGAAGCAGGGTGTGGAGCTGCCACAGTGGCACTGGCGTGGCCGATGTGGAGCTCCAGATTAGTCAACTGCAAACCGTTCGAACTAGGCTGCCAGCACCACATTAAGGGAAACAAACACATAAAGGTCACCTAAAAAAACGAGAAAAACAAAGCTTGAAACTTGAGTCACTACTAGACTTCCCGCCCAAGCCTAGCGCCAGATGGAAGGGACACCTTTTGAAATGGCCATGAAACCGCGGGAAATGACCTTCCGAAACATCACGTCTTCCTGCTCTGGTTTCTGGTGCAATGGCTGAGCCAAATGGCTGCACCAAAAGCAGGGCACAGCTGCAACACTCGCATGGGCACTGAGCCAAACTTGGACCTGCAAAATTTGTTGAACACTGAATACAAAAACGTATGAAAAAGTACTAGGTCCTCCAGTAGAGAGGTTAGAATACGGGGAACCCTCCCCCCCAAAAAACACGGGTGAGAAAGGGCACCTAGCTGGGGGACCTAAGGTAGGCAATGGAAATGGATGGCCTGGGTTCCTGGAACCTTCTGATTCGGATCGAAGGGATCTGAACACCTTGCTGAGGAATTGGGGGGGGGGGTCGATTTTGTTGCCGACAAAAGGGAATCAAATGGGCACATGCTCGAGGAGGCAAAATGGGTTGACAAGTTCTCGGTCATGTTTGGGCTTACCAAGATGGAACAACAACTTGAGCGCCTGGAAACCAATTTCGAACTAGGGGCCCTGGGCTTCAAACACCCATGTCTTGGTGAAGCTCTTAAGATCTCCGACTGAAAGTTTGCTCTCGAGCAAACTTTCCCCTCGAAACCACGCAAGAACGGTGCCCCAAGGGTTGGGGGCAAAAAAAGCGGCATACGGCACAGGGGATCAAATAAGGCATATAACTAATTCTACTGGTCATTGGGTGGTTAAGTGTCTCTGAAACGCAACGCGCGTTCAGAGAACCCCAGAAGCAACAACCCAAACATGGCCAAGTGAAGCTATCCGGGTCACACACCGGCGCTGAAAAACCAAGAATCCCACGGTTGTCAAGCGCCTTCTCAAAAAAATAATGATAGTTCCACTTTTGCTTGGTAGAGGACAATGATGTGAACCACACACCATTGTTACGCAGTATCGCGGCAAAGTCGAGCGGATATAAGTCATCGTAGGCGAGATCGTTGTGCCACCAGGTGAGCTTGATGCAATTTGGGCAGCAACATGAGCCCACATTCCAGTTTTGCTGGTTGTGAAAGGGGGCCCAGCCCCACGCATTCCGGTCCAACATTGCATATCCAATATTAATAAACCAACCACTCCACGTTTTCAACACACCCCGCCAATTCCTTGCCCCTTGCATCCCATCCGGTCTCTAGTGGCCGCGCCTCAAACCACTTGCGCCTCCGGAAGGCTGCGTCTTTCATGACTGATCGCAGCATGATGGGGATGCAGTAGTCCTGGATGGGCGAAATGACTACTGGCCACGTAAGAGGAACCACAAGGAGGATATTTGAACAACTAAGTGTTGAAACCAGGTTCAGCACATGAAACACACCTAACTACGCGAGCGACCAACACCACCAAGATGGGGGTCTATTGAGATGTCCCCGCAGCTTCTGTGATGGCCTTCCAATAGCGCATTCTCAAGGTGGTTGGCGAGTCCTAGCCTAGGATTCACATCTGTACCATCATTCGAGGCAAACGTGTCTCAAATGTTGCCAGACGTTGACCCAGAAACGGCTGCGCACCCCCCCTGGGTGTCGCTAATTCTTGTTGGAAGGGGGAGTTCCAAGGCAAAACTTCGTTATTTGACCCTCAACAGGGGCGCTTTGCTGTGTGGGAGAACAGTTTAGGGAGTCTGAAAAAAAGCCGGCACCCATCAGGTAATGTTTGGAAGCGCTATGAATAGTATAGGTCTAAACAAAAACGAGGGCACTCCCATTTAATTTCTCGGTTGCTTTCTGCTCCCCTGCGAAAAGTTTAACTTGTGGTTTAATGGAACACCCTTTAGTTGGCAAAAAGTTGAAGTGCTAACATCCAAGCAAAATGCACAAAAGTATTCTCATGGAGGCTGGGGGGGGGGGGGGGGGGGGAGGGAGCCCAAACAAGCCCTAAATAAGGCCTTATTAAGGGCTTGATAACGGCGTATTTGGGCTCCCTCCCCCTCCCCCTCCCTCTCCCCCAGCCCCCATGATATTCTTAGCGCTAGCAAAAAGCCTGGGTTTAGTATCCAACTTCTCGCGCCTCAAAGTAGGTCTGACAGTCCAAGAAGCGCGAGGCCTGGCGCTGATCCACTTCGGAAGCGGAAGCCCCGGGAGCGAGCGGTTTGTGGCCCAAGACCCAAAGCCACAGCGGTCAGGGCCAGGGTTTTTCCTTTTTCAGCCTCTTCTTGTCCGCCCCTTTTTTTTCTTGCCTTGTCTGATGAAATGATTGCCTTGTCTGATGAAATCATTCTCTTGTCCGTCCAGTTCAGCTGATCTCGAGGGTTGGATGGCTAGGTTTGTCTATAATTTTGTGATTTACATCCTCACAAACTTTGAGGTTTTGAGAGTTGTGGCGAATTGTTACCGCATTTGCCTTGCTTCTATCAGAGACAGAGGCCGGTGCATCTTTCGCTACCCCCCTGCGTTGATAAGGGGAAAACAAGCAGATCTCGGGGCAGATCGAAGTTTCGGGGAGGCTGCCGGAACTTGCGTGACACAAAACGAAGCTGCTAAATTGGGTCACCCTCTAAATGGCCGTGAGCCAAAATCAGTATGCAAATGGACCAATGGCAAATGTAAACACATAAAACACCCTGCGATTTTCTGGTGGTTTCATTGTGACCCACATCCAAATGGAGGTTCAAAGGGAAACCTCCGCAGAAAACGATGTGATCGTTCAAATTGGATCCAGCCAAACTGGTTTGTGACGACAAATGCCTCCGCAAAGAGTTTCTAGCTTTTTGTGGGTCGCTCTGGAAAATCAACAAAGTTTCAACCAACAAGTTAAAGTCCAAAGACAACAAACAGCCATACAGATCCGGACAGCCATAAACTGCCGTTACGACTCCCAAACAGCCATACTCTGGATGGTCGAAATCCTGCACCACTTTGAACTCATGCTTGAAACCAGCCACGTGTCTCTCGCGTTTTTTTTGGGAGGGGAATCACAAATCATCGTTTTTTTTCCAGGGATGCTGCTGTTTTTTGAGGGGCATCACAAAAGTCATCAGCCATTTTTTCCCAGGCGAGGCGAAGAAAACGGATTTCGCCTCACCATCCACAGGGCCACGCGCTCTCGATCGATCGATCCTGCATGGCCATCAGCAGCTGGTGATCCGCCGGCTCCGGGAAGGGGCACGTGGCGTCCAAGGTGCGGCCGGTGCCGTGGCCCACGCAGCCTCGGGTTCGGTTCGGCCGGGTAAAAGGCCGAGGGGTGGAGATCAACGGCCCGACTTCGGGGGCCCCCCAGTTTTCACCAGTCACGTTTGCCATAAGGGAGTTCTGATGATCGAAAATGGGGGTAAGAAATGGGGGTGGATCAATAGTGGCTTTCAACTGATCGTGGCTCACTTTTTCCCATGTGGGAAGGATCATCTTGGCGGCTTCCCCCAATGGTCCCATGTCAAGGACCTTTTGATCAGCCCCCACCTTAGGGTGGCAGCCAAAAACCGGCACAAAGATGCAGACGGACTCAAATCAGGCTATCCATGGTCAATCTGGATTGTTGACTTGGCTGTGGTTGTCAAAACCGTTTTGGGATCCCATTTTGGGCTAGGTGAATTCACCACCCATTTTAGAACCTATTTTAGTGGGGATTGGGATGTTCACTGGGGTTACGATTTGGATTTTGACCCATGGCCACTTGCTTTCGGATTGGCACTTCGACCCGAGTAGTCCCAAAGGATCTTCACACGTCGCTCCTTGTTTCCCGGGCCCCGTGAGCCCATACCTGGGCTTTTGCTCCAGCGGTCTGGCGAATACACCGCTCCAGGCAGGCATGGCCTCTTTCTCAACAAGCAACATAGATGTACACACATGTATGTGTGTACATATATATATATTATATATAAACAATGAATAACTATAGATATATATACACATATATACATATATATATATGGTCACCCCCCCCCCCATGATCCACATTTTGCCTCTTGCAAGCAAAAAACACTGGAAAAACACATGTAAAATGCTTGTTTTTGACCACCTGTTCCAGGATCAGATTCTGATCCTGGAAACTTGGGTCAAAAACAAGCATCATTCTTGATGAGTAGATTAGTCAAAGATTGCGACATTCTTGATGGACAGATGTTAGGCAACTTGAAGCAGATGCTTACAGATGGTTTGTGTGGACAGCCTTCTGGAAAAAAGTTAGCAGGGAGCAGATGGAACTTATGGAAGCAGCATGCAGAAAGTGCTGTACTGTCCCTAAAATCCAGGCTTTGGAGGCTGAAAGTGCTGTACTGTCCCTAAAAAACCTAAAAAACCATTCCAAAAACAGTCTTGGGCACACAAACCTCCTTCTGGCTGGTTTTTTGGCAGGGACAGTACAGCACTTTTTTTGGTTTTTTAGGGACAGTACAGCACTTTTTTTGGTTTTTTAGGGACAGTACAGCACTTTTTTGGTTTTTTAGGGACAGTACAGCACTTTTGAGCATCAGCATGCAGAAAGTGCTGTACTGTCCCTAAAATCCAGGCTTTGGAGGCTGAAAGTGCTGTACTGTACCTAAAAAACCTCTGCCTCCAAGGCCTGGATTCTAGGGACAGTACAGCACTTTTAAGCATGCAGAAAGTGCTGTACTGTTTTTGAAATTGTGGATGTGGGAAGGCAGTAGCAGATGTTTGTCACTCCGACGAGCTGGCTTGCATTTTTCTTGCCTTTTTCCTTCGAGCGCATATCCGGTAATCACTGCTTGTGCAGTGCCTGCAGCATCTGGCCGGTCACCTCCCACATATTAGCGCGGCGATGCCAGTATTCAAACTGTGCGGATCTCAGCTTTCGCAAGAGAACCTGACTGCCGGGGATTCTATTCGTGTGTTTCAGGTGAGATCGAAGGGTGTTCCAGAACCGGTCGATGATCTGGGTGCCGCTCTTCACACGCACCTTCTTCCCGTCCGGCAGCTTGACGTCGTACTGCTTGGTGTAGTGGGGCTTCACCCAAACGGCCTGACAGGAATAACAGAATCAAGTAGATCCCTTAAGAGGCAGTTAAAGCAGTTTAGGTCAGAGTTACTTGCCTTGCCGTTGATGACGATGCGCTTCTTCTTGTGCACGACGTTGCAATGCCTCACGTCCGGCAACCTGAGCTTGTAGGCTCTGGCCCCATCGCTGTGGAGGATGACTTTCCGGCCCGCGATGTGCTTTTTCGCAATCGGCTGCCAGTCCCTCTTCCTGATGGGACCTGGCCCCGGAGATCTCTTTTTGGTGAGGATGGGGTTGAGCCTGAAGAGCACCAGCGAGGATGGCCTTCCTCGCTCCACGAGTCCACCCCACTGTTCCCATTTCGTGTTGAGGTTTCCCGCCACGCTCTCGTCGGTCAACTTGCCAATGTCGACCTCGTCCACCTCCACGTCCTCCCACTTCCCGCCGAAGACAATGTCCTTCTCCTTCTGGGTGACGTACTGCGAGCGAGCGACCTCCAGGTTGTGGTAGATGCGCTCCACTGGCTTGTGGTCCATATCCAGGAGCAGGTGCGCCGCATTGCTCGAGACCCCCACCACCGCGCAGAAGAGGACCGCCACCTGCTTCTGAAGTGGAGTTGAAGAATTTCCAGGAGACATGAAGAAGATGGGATGGTAGTCATGAGGCTGAAGTTGCTTGTGGCAGGCACGCTTCTTGCACCGGTACGCCCAAATCTTCTTGTCATGGTAATACTTCAGGGGCCCCATTACGCCGTTGCCACATCGAGGGCAAGTTCTGCCTTCCCAGTCTGTGAGGATCTTGTCCTTGTGGAGCTGCTTGTGGAGACGCTGTCCAGTCAAAGATTCCCAAGTCAAAATCGAACGCCCCCAGCTCGCTCTGTGGCCTTTGTTCTTGGTAGTGGGCATGCCATGGCGGACATATGGCACCGGAGCAGGATTCTTTGAGGCAGGCCTTCGCTGCACGCGCCACTTCCCCCGCTTAGGATCTGGGAACTTGGCCTTCACGGACTTCATGACCTTCTTTGGCATGATGGGCAAGATCAACTACAAAGGATCAAGGCGATTGAAGCAGATGGCTGCGTAAACGATCAATGCGATTCGCTTCCAAGCAACATGTGCAAGCAAGATGGCACTGGAGACCTAATGTTTTTTAGCCAAGCTCCATGTCTCCATTGGGTTTATATTTCTATCTTCTAGAACAAAATCCGCTGAGTGCGGCTCACACGCGGCTCAGTTGTCGTCAATGTCCATGGCATCCGCGAGTTCTTGGGAAAGGGTTCGGTATGCCTCGATGTCATACTGGTCGGGAATCTCGTCCATAGGGTCCACCACATCAGGAGAAGAAGCCGGCAAAGGCACAAGGACCTTGGTCTCATCCACCACATCGGCTGCTGGAGGAGCTGTAGGGTCAGAAAGCTTCTCCACAGGGTCCACCGCATCAGCTGCAGCCGGTGCAGCAGAGGCTGGGTCACTTGCATCCTCAGACGTGTCTGACAGGTTGATCACCAGAGGGCGCAGGTTCAATGGCTTGGAAAAGTAGGAGGGATCCACTGGCTCTTGCTTGATGTGCACCTTATGCGTCTCCTCTGGTTCTTCTTTGATACCCTGCACGTCCTCATCCTTCTCTTCTTCTTTTGTTTTCTGCTCATCCTCGTCCTTCGGCTCGTCTTTGGCATCCTGCGCATCTTCGTTCTCCTTCTGTTCTTCTTTTGTTTTCTGCTCATCCTCGTCCTTCGGCTCGTCTTTGGCATCCTGCGCATTCTCGTTCTTGATCTCCTTGAGCAAGTTGGAAGAGGACTTCACAGATCGAAGCTTCTTAGTGGGCGGCTCGTCGACGGCAGCGCCAGCATCCAGGTAGTACTTGGTCTTGCCCTCAATGCCCGCGAGTGTTGGTCGATCTTCAATGACGTACTCCCTTCCTGAGAACAGTTCTTTCCCACGGGTGGTCGCACAATAGCGGACCTCCTCGCCATCCAGCGCAGCCTGCAGCAAGTTCAAACTCCACTGCATGTCTTTGTCATGATCTGCCGGCAAGTGAGAGAGGTTACCGCGCTTGTAGGCAGCCAAAAGGGGTCGGGCAGATGGAGAGATCATGCCAATATCCCGCTCTGGCCAGGCATACCGGGGAACGGGTTTGCGGTCTGTGCCTGGCACACGTACGTACATGCCCACATCGGTGAAGACGATGAAGGTGGATCGCTTGAAGACACCGACAAGGTCCTCTTCATCGAAGTCCCTGTGGAAGGAGGGGCGCACGATCTTGTAGAACTGCTCGAAGGTCACGGTGTCCTGAGTCGAATTGGCGTCCATCGGCGGCTCTGCAGTCCTGTCATAGGGATTACTGCAAATCTGGCATAGCTGATTCTTCGCGTACGAGGACGCGTTGTATCTTGCCATTGTCTTCCTGTCGACGCCGTCCACCTCCGTCACTGCCTTAACACCTGCGGGATGCTCCAGGTTGAGGTTGCCATCATCAAACACCCTCGGTTTCGTCCGCCTGCCCTTCTCCTTGCGGAAGTAGTCGAGGTGGTTGCATGTCTGAAAGCAAGGGCTGCCCTCCTTCTCTTCCTGAATCAACCAATATGCGGACACCACAGATGAGAGGGTGTAGGACACCGGGCTTTTACCCACCTGAGACTTGCCAATCCAGATAACGGAGTGGGACATCACATGAGGAAGAATCGGTGCAAGGATAGTGTTCAAAGCCCACGGCGTGATGCTCTTGAAGGTGAGAGGCCACTCCTTGATCGTATTAGCTTGAGAGCCTTGGTCCGCGAGGCACCTCAGGAACTCCTTGATGGTCCCCTTGTCCCACTTGTGGAGCGGGCCGTTCGGATCGTTGACCTGCTCCTCCGTCCACACTGTGAATTGCCCGTCGGAGTTTTCTTCCGGGCCAAACTGACGGATATAGGCGAAGCCCTTGCGGATGTCCTCCGTCTCTTTGGGCATTTTGCTCGAGGCACCGGCGGACACGAGCTTCTGGTAGCGGACCTGGAAGCCGCCCAGCCCCTCGAGCATGTACTGTAGTCCTCGACCACCATCGCGGTACTTGCCCTGCAAGTCGATCTCGAGTGGAACGCCCTGGCACATAGAGATGATGGAGCTGTGGAGGACCTTTGCACCTTCTAGGAATTTGATGTGCTTAATGATGTCTTTCTTGCCCCCTTCCTTGGGGATGATGAAAATCTGCATGTTGTAGGGGGCCTGGAAGTTCCCCTTCATGCGCACGGGCTCGGGTAGGTCGGCATACCGTTGTTGAAGGAACATTGTCTCTACCGCATTCAAGTCAATAGGCCCTTCGTGGTCAGCAATGACATCGAGGAACTGCGTCTTCTTTTTCACGGAGTCGGTGATTTCCATTTTAGCTGGCAAATCGCCTAGCTTATTGGAACCGGGCTCCTTGTTCACCACCATTGGCTTCTCCAGGTAAAGGATCTTCATGCCGTCGGTGTGGGCGATGGCTTCCTCCAATGTGCAGTTGCCGTCCAGGTTTGCTTTGTCGAAGGAACGAGCCAGCGACTCAGCACGATGAGGAGGCACAGATGCCATGATTGGAGCAGAAGGGAGTATCAGGAAGTTACCTCAAATTGAAATGGCTGCAGCAGAGTACACGGAAATTTGATGAGCTTGAGATGCAAGCAGTATGTTAATAGCCTCCATTGGGAGTTGGGCTAATAGTACTTCAGCCATTAGTTACACACTGCGGGGTCAAACTAAGGAGCCAGAGCTGAGACCACACACTGCAGCCATACCAAATGTGGATCATGGGGTTGGAATATCAGAAAGTTGCCCAGCTTTGCAATGGATGCAGTATAGCACAAGGAAACTTAATGAGCTTGATATGCAAGCAGACTCAGGCGTACATGGTCAGCAGGCTTTTTTTCCTTGCGGCTTGGAAAACTGAGAGAGTAAAAGCAGTCCTAAGGACTGTCCCATAAAAAACTATGGCAAATGCCTCTCACTCATAATCAAGCCAAGTTCATTCTCTTGGAGGACGGTCTCCTCGCTCGCGCTGATCTTGAAGTGCAAGCCTTCGAAGCTGAACACTTCCGATCCTTAGATGGGCAAGAGCAGAAATGACAGCAGAAGGACCCCATAAGAAACTGCAGTTTTCGACTCGATGAAATCGGCCAAGTAGCCACATGGTAGATAACCTACTTTTGTAGGCCATCTGGATGGAGCGATAGGGCTCGGCGTGGCGCTCGTTGCCATGGCTGTTATTATTTTAACAGCCTCCATTGGGAGACGGGCTAAGAGTACTTCAGCCATTCAAATTAAGGAGCCAAAGCTGAGACCATACACTGCAGCAATGCCAAATGTGGATCATGGGGGGGGGGGGGGGTGAGCATATATATATATATGTATATATGCACAAATGTGCATAGTACAGCTGGGCCCAACTCTGAGGGGCTGTGACTCCATTGGGTTTGGAGATCCCAGGTAGATCCACATCCAGCCCCGAACGGTTTCCCTTGGCGGAACCATATACCCTTAAAACTAGGTCCTCCAGTAGAGAGGTTGGAATAAGGGTGCCCTTTTTGTCCCCAACAGCTGAAAGCTTTGGGGTCTCAGCCCAGATAGGCTCCGGGGTGGTCCGGGGCGGCCCTGAGCTAAGGTTCCACGAGGGTTCCACGAGGGTTCCACCAGGGTTCCACAAGGGTTCCACGAGGGTTCCACGGGGTGGTGTGAGCACTAAAACGAGCACCGCATGCTGTTGGGGATATCACCTGAGCTTATTTTTCTGTAGTCTATTTTAGTAGGGGAACCCTCCCAACCAAAAAAGGGTAAAAGGGCACTACTGGTGGACCTAGCTTTCATAGCGTCTTTTACAACATGAAATGGTAATTCGGCACCCGACGTGCGGGGTTGGTCTGTGACCCCCTGCAAAAAGTAGTTCTCCTCTGCTTGCCTCGTGTGAAAAACATATCAGCGTGTTTGCGAAAAGGTTCAACAGGGTTGCGCCAAAGACCCTGGAACAAGGCTAGGCAAAGGGTACCTGATACCGGGGAACCAAAGGACCGGACCCTTCATCAAAACTCTTCCCTCAAGACCGGGAGGAGGCATTTCAATAGTGCAAAATGGTCCACAAGTTAGCTAAGTGGTTGGTCGCCCCTACACTTTGGCCCGTTGCAAAAGGCCCATGGATTTCTGGCAGGCTGGGACGCTGGCGCAACGACAGCACGTAGCCTGAAGTGAAGTCGCAGTTTGCTTTTGTTTTTGGATGTTGGGCCAGGCCCTACCCTCCAAGACCCGCGGGTCCCAAAGAGTTCGGGGTTCAGGATTTTTCAAAAAGGCTCTATTTTTTTTGGGCCCGCTCAAGCCCAACAAGGCCAACTTGGGTGGGGTTTTGAGGGCTCTGGGGCCCAGAGATTTTCAACTTGGAACATGGGCTGCTCAGACCCCATAGGAGTCATAGGACTCTCTTGGACACGGAAGCTTTGACTGGGAGGGGATCGTCACATTTCCCACTGGCGATGCAAAAAGAGACGCAAACGATTCTGAGAAAGCAACAGTTTTCTGCTTTGATTCCAGGCGCCACAAGACAAAGACAACAAATCAACAGTTGAAAATAATCAAATGCAAACCTTACTTGGGCGAGTCAGTATACGGTAGGCCAACATCGACTGGGCTGGCGCACATGGAGGCTTAGCCAATCCTACTTTCCACCATCTTGACTGGAAACCCCCTGATCAGGCCTCCTTGCAACTCAAGCGGATTCCCAACTGACCAGCTCAGTCATGAAGATATCTTTGGAGGTTTGGGAAGCAGCAGGAAAATACTCCTCCTCGGGCTTCCCCGATCTAGAAACAAACGCATTTCAGCCACGGTCAAAATATGCGGCGAACGTGAAGAGCATGGGAAAACTCCGGCTCGTCCCCCGATGTGTGGTTCACATTTGGTGAGTGCCCCAATGTCACTCCCAAGTGACCCAAGAAGCCAAAGCCAAACCAAACCCACATGTTTGTTGCCTCCCCTGGTAAGAACTAAGAAGGTAAACAAACAAACAAACAAGAACAAAAAGGCAAGCCGGTCCTTGCCTTTTTGGCTTTCCAGGAAAGCAACCTCGTCAAGGATGAACAAGTTGAAGCTCGCAGAATGGGGTTTGTTTGAGGAGGGGCACGGAATAGAAACCTCTGAAAGAATCTTGGCGTGTGGCATGTGTCATTCTTGGGGCCCATCCTGGGGCTAACCCAGGTTTTCGGGAAATTATGCTCTTTTGGCTGTAAACCCTGTAAATACTGTAGACTCCTTTACGTATTCTATGTACAATGATTGTAATATATACTTGAATGCATATGTACCATGAGTCTTCATGACCCCTTTTTTTGAACATGGGTCATACGTTGAAATTCGGGCTCATGACCCCATTGGGTACTAGAGATAGTTTGGAGACACGCAAAGTTTGTTCACTCAGACTTCTCAGCTCCAAGTGGACTTTTGTAGATCTATGGGCGGCACAAAATTGACCTTAAACACCTCAAAACCCCCCCGACCGGGGTTCGTCACTTGAGTGGATTGGCCCAAACAAGTAGCCAAACTTTGTGCTTAGCGCCAAAATGGTCCAAACCCCAAAATGAACTCGAGAGAGAATCCCATCCCTCTGGCTTGCCTTCCGGCTTCTCCATCGCACGTGCGTGCATCACCTTCCGCACGGTCTCCGCCTAGCGGAAGGGGAAACATGTCCTCCATTTGTGGTATACAGAAAACACCCCTTCTGTTTTCGACCCCTCAGCCTCAAAATCTTCACTTTACGGATGTACAATGAACATGCTTTCAAAAAAAAGAGAAAACAACGCTCAGGAGGTCAACTTGCAGGGAAACACCAAAAAGTATTTTTGCAGAAAGCTGTGTTTTCGGGACTCTTTATTTCACATTCTTGCTTTGTCTCATTGTTTCAAGGTTGGGATACTTTGCAGAACCCCTCAAAATCTTCACTTTAAGGACTGAGCAAAATGTAATTGCCCCGAATGTAGGCTTCAGAAGAAAAGCTCAAGCGCTCACAAATGCCGATTGGATGACAAGACCATTCCCGTCCTAACAGGGACCCTACTGAAAAACAGAAAAAGTGTGCACCCTCTCAATTGTCAGTATCCCCTAAGCAATCGAGGGCCCTCCTGGTTCTGCTTGATTTTCCTTTTGCGCGCCAAGTCAGGCAACCCCGCGAACATTGGTCAAGGCCCCCGCCTAAGTCTGCCTAAGCCAAGGGAACAAAATTGTGCGACGCCATGACCTTGCGTTGTAGATGTTTGGATCCAGTATAGGCCGTTGAAATGAATGTTTGTTGAGGTTTAGCAAACCTACGAAAGGGAATCCGCTGTAAGCACCACAACAAACAAGCCCTAAGGAAAAACAACAAAAAAACAACGGACAGACTGTTTGAGTCAAGTTTTGCCCAAGGCCTTCGCATCACTCGAACGCGAAAACGCGCAAGCGACCAACTTTTAGCAACGCGCCTCGGCCAAGCTTAGGACGACATAGAGGCGGCCGGCCTTCGCTTGAAACTCACTATCCAACGGGGTTGGGCGAACTACTTGTTAAAACCGTGGTCAAGCCAACATTGCCAACAATTGACGTATTTTGTGAAAGCGTTCCATAGTTGGTTGCTTCCACCATTGTCGCCATGTTTGCAAGGAGGCAACCTGAATCAACCCCAGGGTATCTGGGATCGCCATATGCAGCTGGCAACATGACCGCAGCCAACCAATAGAACCACCCTAGACCACCCACGATTCTCAGAACTGGGAACCCTGGAAAGACTCTAACCCAGCTTTTCCACGGACACTTCCCGTGTTTTGATCCTCGGGCAGAATCAACAAGTCCCAAGCACCTTGGCCGGCTTCCAAGTGCCGGTTTGGCCTCGCTTCAAAACCGTTCGGCCGAGGGTATCGTAGTGAGCTTTGGCTTTCAGGCTCAAAGCCAAAGGTATCGGTGTAGAGTGCCTGAAGGTCTGAACACGCCGTTTTGTTGTTTCCTAGGAGACCCTGGAACCTAAGGTCCGAATCCATGACACTTTTTCAGACCTCTGGTTGATTTGATATGGGGTGCTTCATTTCAGGGCGGATCCTTTGTTGCGGATTCTACTAAATTCAGCGGGCTCTCCAAAAGTCCACAACGTGTGGGTTTAGTGGACACCCAACCACTAAAGCAACTAAGACCAACTAAATAAAAACCAGCTACACAACCTAAGTAAACTATCTAAAAGCAACTAATGAGTAACTTTACACCTGAGTAAACAAACTAAAACACACACTAAACACCAAAGTAAACCGAAGCAAGCCTACTAAAAACCGAAGTAAACCAACGACAAACTACTAAACAGCTAAGTTGCACTGGACGATTCCGTGAAAACCAAGTCCAGCTTCCATGGCCCGGCTGAGTTTCAATCTTTCCCCAAACACAAAATTTACGGTAGACCGTAAAACTATGGTCTGCATAATCAGACATATTACTGTACTTGCTGTTTATGGGCCAAGTTAATGCTTAGGGACTACAAATTCATGCACGTTTTAGGGTCCAGAACAAATATGGTCGACATAATCAGACATGTGTTGTCTCCGTACTCCACATGTGGGCTAAGTTATCCTTGGGAAGCGGTCAATGGTTGAGTTATTTCAAGTGGAGTAAAGCAAAGGCTATTCTCCACGCAGGAATTGGGCTGCTGCGATCTCTTGCTCTCTCTCTCTCTCTCTTTCTCTCTCTCTCTCTCTGCTGCGTAAGCTGCAAACCTCATGTGCCGAACCTTTCTGTGATGCAAACGCGGGGCGCCCCTCTGACTTTGTCAGTGAGGGGATTCTGTTGAAAGCACAGCTCGTGGGGAAAGTAAACGGATCTGAAACTCGCAAGGTCAGAGCTTCCGTGTTTCTCTCGGGATTCACTTGGAGGGATGCTTCCCATTTCAAAGCAAACCAGGGACCCACCCCGCAACCAGCCAAAAACCCATCAACAACTGCTGGGGACAGCATTGGTTTCGACTAGACTAAGGGTAATGTCAGTGCACGATAAGTAACACCCGTGATTCCAATACTAGAGTAGACAACAAGGTTTGTACAAAAAAACCTACCCCATCCTTCCCACTGCAGCCCGCCACAGCTTTCCTTTTTGCGTAGTATTTGCTTGCGCTTAACCCACAAAAACTAAGCCACGATTAAACTCCGAGTTTTCCCACCCCAAATGAATTTGTCTTACTAAACTTTGCGTAAAGTGACAAGGTGTTCAAGCTGGCAAAGGGATTTTGGAGGCATGCCCCCTCCTCCACTAACAGAAAACCCCCCTGCGATTATTTGGACTCTATACTAAAAACTGATGTTGCCATTTGTCGTCCTATTGCCCAGAAGGGGCCAAGAGGTTCTCCAGGTTGTGTCCAGTTCAACTGGCTGAGGGTCAGCAGTAGAGGAAGAGGATGGAAGGAGGTAATTGCTCAAACCTGTCGACATTGAAGGGTGGGGGGTTCTTTTGCTTGAGCATGAAGATTGACTTCCTTGCAATCACGTCATGTTGGGCTCAAGGCCCTTCTTTCTGTATATCCGGTAGCTACAACAGCTTGCCATAGAGCGACCTAGTCACCCGCCGATCGCTCCATCGGTGCCTCCAAAGGCGGGCGCCGATGTGCGCCCAGCATGGAGCGGAAGCACTGGAAGTCCACCTGGACTTGGTTGCAATTACCCCGCTGCAACAAGTTCTCCCCTTTTTGTGGGCCCCTGGCAAATCTGAGCAAAGCTTCAACCAAGAAGGTTCAAGTCCAGAGATCCGTTGCCAAACAGCGATGAAGGGGACCTGAGCTTGACGAATCAAGAAGTTTAATTCAGGGTGAGCTTGTTTTACCCCCGAACCGGTGAGCTCGCAACAACCTAGGCAAAGGGAGTGCCAGTGAAGCGGTTTGCTGCTTTGGTCCGTCCCTGAACATCAACAAAAGCACCAGAAGAAGGCTGACTAAAAGAAGAGGGGCAAGAACTGAAGGGATCCGCAAATGGAGCATCCAAATCGTTTTCTGGAGTCCTACAGGGTGATATTACCTCATGTGTGGCCCTATTTTCTTACTAAGCTGATCCACATGAAACCCTTCATTAACCCCAGATGTGCCAAGTAAAGTACGCATGTGTGTACATATGTACATACACATAATTCTGAATCGGTCTCATTTGGCCCTGTTAGCACGGATACGCGTTCATAGTTTATAATTTAACATGGAACCTAACAGGGTGCTGGAAGACCATTTTCCTTTTCGAGGGACCCTCCGTCAGGTTCCATGAACAATTGCTAGGAGGGCAGTTGTGTTGCATCGCCCTTAATCGAACAATTGATAATTTGCGAAACTCGCAACTGTTGCTGGGCCACTCGTTTTAGTTCAAAAAACACAACGGTCTGCCCTATCAACTTATGTGCAATATACATGTTGGGTCTCCCCGTCTAAATGGAATAGACCTGGAAAATGAAGCACGGAAACAAACGTGTGTAGTTCTAAGGGCTAGCTCCCCAGCACTTTTCGATCTTTACTTCTGCTTTTGGGTGGGGAAGCACAAAGACCTCGGTCCCAGGTCCAATCGATTCAGGGATTCGCGGGGGCCACTCCTTCATTGTAGCCCAGAGCTCCACTGGCAAAACAACAACACCGCTGGAAGTCGAGGGTAGGCTGTCAAACAATGGCTGAACAAAAAAATACCCCTTAAAACTCCAAGCCCTGGGGAAGTTAATCTTTTACAGACATATAGCCCATGTTACCCAAAAAGTTGAAAAGTTGTGTTTTTAAGAGGTAAGAAAATCAGCCCCTTGCTTCCCAGGCCAGTGCGATTCCAAACCCCATAAGGCCTTATGAAACCAGGACAGCGAAACACCATGGCCAATCGGATTCGGTCTTGGTTGCGCTGCTTGACGGGTCTTGAGACCAAATTTGCAGACAGCACAACTAGATCCTCCAGCAGAGAGGTTCGAATAAGGGTACCCACTTTTTTCTGTAGTCTATTGTAGTAGGCGAACCCTCCCAACCCAAAAAAAAAGTGAGAAAGGGCACCGATTGCTGGGGGAGCTAGACAATGCAAAGGGCGGCGGCCTTTTGGTTGAAAATAGATGGGTTTCCCTGGTAAATGGCCATAACTCCCTAAACCAGTGTCATCTATTTCAATCCAAAGCGATTTTGTAGACTGAATCGACCTGCTCACCGTGGCCACTTTCGAGGGGCAAGGTCAGGGCCGAGGCTCCGAGGCCATGGAAGCAAGCGTCAAGTTGTGCTTCCCCCCCCCCCCCCCCCGCCGCGGAGATTAAAGGTAAAACTAGGTCCGGTAGTGGTAAAAATCCACTTTAAAACACGGGAAAATACAAAAACCTGTTCATTTCAGCCAATGGACGCAAGATCCCTTCTAGGTCCTTCAGTAAAGAGGTTAGAATAAGGTTACCCTTTTTTCTGTAGTCTACTTTAGTAGGGGAAACCTCCCCCAAAAAAAAAACTGGTGAGAAAGGGCACCGATTGCTGGGGGACCTAGCATGTTGCAAGGTGGAAATTCGCACATGGACTCCTTTGGCTTAATTCAAGCTCTGCACTGTTCCCCCTACCTGCATTACGGGAACTTGTTGTTGGGGGTGTTCAACGTGTTTCAAATATAACCATGGCCTAGGATGTTTCTATTAATATATATGTACATGTATATTAGTCATAGAGAGGGTATGTGTCCCGCTGGGTATTAGTGGTTTGCGGTCACAGCTGGAGTGATCCAACTCACTCCCTTGACACTTTGCGAGGTTCGTTGACAAGTGTGGAGATCTCTCAAGGTTTGTTCTTTTGAGAAACCACTCAAATCCCCTAAGGCTTGGGGCAACTTCTCTGAACAGAAGGATCCCCAGAGACATTCGTTTCAACTTGGGGGATCTTTTGCTGAGTTCTCCAATCCGTCGATGATGCTCGAGCCTTCCTTCGCCGCAGCTCGTCAATCTGAGCAGAGGCCGGAGCAAAGTGATCGGTCTTATCTGGGCTGTCCTCAGATCCCCCGCCAAAAGTGACTAACTTTTAGTGGGTTGAATGGAAATCCAACCGCTAAACACTAAGAAGCCAAAACGCTCAGGAACCGGATGGCTGGGAGCCACCAAGTTATGACCTTCTGAGCTCCCATCTTTGTCCAGCACTCGAGGTCCCAAGAAAGGATCGATCCCTTCTCTGCGGCCCTTTCGGAATTCGGGACTCGGCCCTTTCGGGCACTTGAGCATGGGATCAGCTCGACTTTCCGAGCAAAGTTCTCTTTGGACCCTGAACACAGTGGGGTCACGACTCCCTTGTGTGCATATGACCCCTGTCTTTTATGGACTCTCATGGAGACTCCACGCAGGCCTTGTGGGCGCTTTTTTCTCAAATGGTCTGGCAATCTAGCAACTGACAGCTCAACAAGTAGAAACTTGGTACCTGGCATGGGGAAACTAAGGATACCACACATATGCTTCGTTTCTTGCCGTTTGTTTTATCTTCTGGAGCAATGTTCAAAGTTGGCCAGCTCAGCCTTGAAAGGTTTCAAGCTTGCCACTGGTTTCTTCTTTCGTCCCTGGTGCCAAGCAAACCACCGGCAGGTCTCCATCTTGCAACAATGCAGTTGGACCTAACACCCATCTAAAAACCAACTGAAGACCAACTCAAAACCACCTAACACCCAACTAAAAACCAACTGAAAACCAACTCAAAACCCAGATTCGCCCGGAACCGCCAAGGTGGCGAGTCAACCCCCCGGTCCCACCTCCGCTCCAGCGACCTCCGCGCCGTGGTTGGCCAAATCCTCGACAAAAGACTCGCGCGCGGGTTCCAGAGGCAACGACCCCGCAAAAACTGGCCCCGGGGTCCTCCAGTAGAGAGGTTAGAAGAAGGGTAGCCGATATATTTTTTCTGTAGTCACTTGGTGTCTGAAAATTGGCACCTGCCGCAAAATGGTCCGAAAAGGTCCTTGTGGTTTCAACCTTCAAACCACCCAAAGAGTCCAGCAGTTTGAGACCCATGCGACGTAACGTCTCTGTGTGTGTGTGTGTCTTAACTTGCTGGTGCTCGGCAGGGAATGAGGGAATGAGCCTGGGGATCCCCTTAAAGTAAACCATAGGGGATGGTTTGGGGTCATTCCATTTCTCACTCCCTGCTGAGCACCAGCCAGAAAAACCATCCCCAAGATGGATTCCTTTAAGGGAACCGGTTCATTCTCAAAACCTGGAAGGGTCATTCCCTACCTGCTGAGCGCCAGCAAGAAAAGCGGATGCATACCCGGCGCAGTGGCAAGAAACAGTGGCTGTGTGAACATGTCCAGCATAAACGCCATTGTTATGTTCTGAGTGGACTAAGAATATTGTTTGGTGTTTTCAATCAAAGTGTTTGGTCCAGGACTATAATGAAGAAAACTATCCACAGAATGCTTAAAGTTTTCCAACTCAGGTAAGCACAGGTTTGTTTCAACTGGGAACAAAGTAGAAGGCATGTTTTAGTTGTCTGGTTTCGAATGAAGACAATGAAGAATGCATCACGTGCAGATTGGTGGGATTTGTCATGGACCGTACACCCCGAACCTCCCTACCCGTTGAGGCCGTTGAGGCCTCAATTTGGCTTGGCAAGGCTTCTTCACCTATAGGGTCCCATGGGGCCTTTGGGGTTGATCCGCATGGCCCTCAGATTTGACACCAACCATGTCCAAACTGTTTGCTTGCCACCCGGTCTTTCCAAGCGAACACGCAGTCCAGGAACTCAGCAAGTGAGGAATGTCCATCCCCACAGCCCTGAACGTCATGTGTGAGCCAGCTCCTTTCTCGGGGTGAGAAAAAAGGGACATCAAAACTCAATGGATCCCACAAACCACCATAGGTAAACAGGGATGTCCGCATTTTACTGGTAGTGCATCCCACAAACCAATATAGGTAAACAGGGATGTCCGTATTTCAATGGTAGTGCCCCTTGTACGCCTGCATCCAGCGCGCGGTAGACGCCGCTTCGGCTTCGGGCATGGGGGGATCGGGTCATCGGGGGACCGGGGCGCGAGCGGCGAGGAACGCTGCTTGTCGAGTGGGCTCTGGCAGCCCATGCAAAGCCGTCTGCAAGTCCTGAAATCGAACTCCGGAGATCTCCCAAACACCACCCTAGGCAACCTGAGGTTTGCTTGGGGGGGGAGTGGGAGGGGGTTGTCTGCTGTCACACCCTAAGTAACCTGAGGTTTGTTTGGGGTGGGGTGGGGGCGTAGGAGCTGTCTTTTTTTGATTCTGTTAGCTTGCTTTTGAACACTGATCCAGGACCGGATGCGAACAGAACAAAAACTCAAGGCGCCGCAACATGACATTTCGTTGGCTTCTGCAAACGTCTGAAACGGTTTGCGCAGAGTCACACATCTGTTGACTGTTGGCTTGAAGCTTGAGGTGGGTATGCAGGTTTTTATAGGGTCTCACTTTAACCCCCTAGTAATTCAGAGCCATAGCAACCCTGAGAAGGTCCTGAAGACGGTCGCGCTTACGGACGCAACAAGGCCCATCCAAATGCTTGAGCGCGGGTTGTGGCGTTGCTCAATGGGGATTCCTTCTCTCGTTTCTATTGCTTGCGTTGTCACGGGTGTTCTCTTGGTGCCACAGCGGTCTCCAGAGGGAACCCATTTCTGGCCCCATGAGTTTTAGCATTGT